TAAATCCCCAGACATGCAAACCGTCAGTGACGTTTGTATATATACACCTCGTCAAAAGTATCGGAGCACCCATTTGAAAGTCAAAGCAGAAATATAACTTTTTAACACTACACGTACATATGTAATAAACGACACCATCTGTGAACATACTATCACAAACACACCCTGTTCCGAGCTGCAAGTGCATGCTTGCCTTTAGCATGCACGTTCCGGGGGACGGTTTACTATAAATGCACATAGCCCCGTTTGGTGCATATTATGTTGGCAGACACATCTAAATTTGATTATAGGCATTTATTTTGACCAACCAGTGAAATGCCCAAGCGTCCAGTGCCTCTGAACCAAAGATGGCAAATTATTGTTATGCAACAGACTGGTATATCATGTCGTGCTATTGGAGCACAACTGAACATTAATCACACTGTCATCAGCAGGCTGACACGTAAGCATACTGTTACCGGTGAAGTGATGGGTGCACCGTGGTCTGGACGTCCCAGATAAACCAATGACAGGGATGATCGTGCTCTCGTACGCCATACCAAAAGAAGCCCAATGTCTACTTGTACACAGCTGCGATATGAATGGCACCCATACAACTCAGTGCCCATCAGCATCATCAGACGAAGCCTAAAGTTGAGATTGAGATTGAGAGCACTCCTAAAAAGTCAGTACCACCATGCCCGTTTAGCCTGGTGCCAAGCACGTGCTCGCTGGAACCTGAAGACATGAAGAAGATGGTCCGATGAAAGCCGATAATTGCTGCATCATACAGACGGGAGGGCACGAGGTTGAATGCAGAGATTTACAGCATATGATCAGAGGAACATCCAAGCTGAAGCTCCTTTTGGGGGGTTGATCCGTCATGGTGTGGGGGTGTTGTTCCTATGACTGTAAACTTGACCTCATCACAGTTCCCGGGGCATTGAATGGACAGATGTACCAGAACTTGATCCTGGACGGTGCTGCAGTGCCCCATTTCGATAACCATGCTCTCGCCACACGTCCAGTCATCATGGACAATAAAGCCAGAACACATCGTGCTCGAGCTGTTGTTCAGCATTTGATACCCTACTATGGTCAGCCAGAAGTCCAGCGATGAATCCTATTGAGCATTTGTGGGACATTTGGGGACATAGGGTGAGAACCTTCAGGAATTGGCCCATGCATTGCATGGTGAGTGGCAGCAGATCCCCCAACAGAGAATCAGACGTCTGGTGGCCAGCATGAGACGGCGTGTAGAAAATATTATCCAAGTGCGAGGCGGTTACACCAGATACTGAGTTAGCCAGTCATTGTAGACCTTACTGGTGTGTTCAACATTAATGAAATGTGAACTGCGTTGTGTGTCTGTTGTAACGACCCCGGCAGCCATACTTATTTCACCTTATTTTACGGTGATATTAGTGAACATTAATTTGCTACAATTAAACCTTCAATTAGTGCTCAAATTCGGTCTTGTGTTATCAATTTTCTAACTGAATGCTCACATGAGGCCATCTAAACAGTTTAATGAGCTTTACTAAGCACAATCAAAATGTTGGGGGTGCGATTGTATGACGAGGTGCATATATACACAAATATTGTCGGTGAGGTGTAAAGGGAATTTGATAAGAATCCTGCAATTATGTGGATGTGCCACACGTAATTATTATGTCTAGCAACATCAATAATTTCTTTTATATTACAGTTTATGTCTACTTAAAGACTGGTAATGGTTAGGAGGTATTTCGAATCGGGGTACTGAGTGACGCTTAATGTCGTAATTGCGATCTTTGGCAGGCGTGTGGGGTTGTATGGTATGGGTATTAAGTTGAGAAATGTTTGGTCATGCAGGACGTCAGATGGTAGAAATGTGAGTCAGTGAATATTCATGACACAAAAGCAGTATTACTATACAGTGATTTTGTGCATTTGTATTACGTTAGGGTTACGTGGACCTTGTTCTATTGGTAATTGCAGTCATGGACGGTTGGGTATGGTCAGGTTTGATCTATCATACATATATATCTTTTCATACAAAGAGGGGTAGGGGGAATGGGAGGAGGTTATGATCTGAAACTCTGGTTAAAACACGTTTTCAGCAAGTTGTTGCTTGTCTTCAGATGGGGCAAGGTTGGATCGGATACAACGCTCGGTGTTTGCGCGACACCGAATCGTCATAATATCAACCACTGGTTTGTTTGTTCGTGGTTGTTTACAGGTTGTCTTGACTGGGGTGGAAAAGTGCTGAATACATGCTGAATAAAACAATACGAAATTCAAAAAAGGCAAAAATTGTCATTCTACTTACTTGTACACCGCTGTAACACAAAAGCCATATAATGACCTATAATCATTGACACTCGCATTACAAAAGGTCGCATAGCCTACCGACCCGATCCGCTTGAAGTCCTCTCGGACCACAAGCATAGGTTACTGGTGTCTAGTTCTAACACAGAATCCCCATGATGTGAAATTCCAAAAACTCAACAGGCTGTAATAATTATTCGCAAGTTGATGGTGACGTAGTCTTTTATCTTGGAGGAAGGTCAGGGAAAATATTGTTGACAAACATTTTTTGTGTGGGCGTAGCTACTACACCCTACCGGCTTCTGAATTCTGGGAATAAACATGCATAGATTGCCACCGATAGTCTAAGACAGGTCTGTGCACGCAGATTATGACTGCAAAGACCTCTGCAATATCCAACGCATAATAGTAAAGTGTAACAGAAAGTGCAATACATAACAGTGAACTAACTGCAACAAGTAATAGTAGAGCAAACTGAACGCAAGGCAGTAAAGTATATCAGTCGGTCCAACACAGTAATGTGCAACAATTAGTTCAACACATGACTCTAATAGTGAATGAAACAGTAGATTCTAATATACTGAGTCAAAAAAGAAACTTCACATTCTTTCTTCAGGCACTATAAAAGAACAAGTGATGGTAAGATGGTTAAATTGTTATTATTTCATTGCTGAGATCTGTGTAATGTACTCGATACACTGACAGTGCCATAATCAGTTCCATTAAGCTACACCGCCGTTCCAAAACATGGGTATACAGAATGTCAAGTCACAAGAATAAAAATGCGAAATTTCTCAGTTAAATATCGTGTGTGGCCGCCCCGCGCATTCACCACTGCCAAACACCGTCTCCTCATCGACTACCTGATGCTGAACACGTGGTTGGGGATTCTGCACCATAGCTCTTGCAAGGCAGCGCCAAGTTCCTGCAAATTCTGAGGTTGGTTCCTAAGACCACGAGGCCTTCTCCCAAGTGCATCCCAAACGTGCCCTATTGGATTAAGGTCAGGGGACCTCGATGGCCAGTCCATGACGTTGATTCCAGCCTTTTGAAGGAAATTTCGTGTCAACATCGCGGTATGCGGCCGAGCATTATCATGCTGGAACTGTAGACCTGGGCCATGAGCCGCCATGAAAGGAACGAGTTCAGGGGTGAGCACCTGGTCTCGGTAAGCAGCAGCTGTGAGGTTTCCACGGATGACCAGAAGTCGGGAACGGTTGTTCCCACAGAAAGCACCCCACACTATGCAAATTCCGCCCCCGAATCTGTCGACTTCCTGTACACAACATAGGGCATACCGTTCACGTTGTCGTCTCCAGACTCTGTGCCTGCCGTCCGCGAATCTGAGGATAAACCTGGATTCATCGCTAAAGACGACTCGATTCCAGTCTCTCTGGGTCCATCGGAGGTGACGTTGGGCCCACAGCAGACGTTGACGTTGATGAAACGGCGTCAATATTGGCCCACGATATGGATGTCGAGAATGGAGATTGGCAGCCTGCAACCGATTTCGAATGGTCTGTGAGGACAGTCGACCTCTAAACATCTCAGCCCTGGTTCGTGTAGCCGGCAGAAATCTGTCACGTAGGTGACGTAGGACGATTTGACGGTCTTCTGCTCGTGACGTCACACGTGGACGACCCGACCTTGGGCGATCAGAAGTGGTGCCAGTTTGTTGCAGACGACCTTGCCAGTCATACACAGTACGACGGCTGCATCCCATTGCTCTTGCGACGTCAGTAACTGATCTTCCTGCTTGCAGCATGCCAACGGCACGTTCACGTTGCACATTTGACAATCGTGGCATTTCAAGTACCGTTAGAACTGTGGTTTAAAAGTGTTTTTTTCAATTCTTCAGGCCAATGCAAACACGTGCATATGAAGAAAACTTCGATGCAAAGATCACGTGTTTCGACTGCACGTGCAAAACCTGATTTGGCACTAACGCCATTTGCACGACGAATGGATGGGTTTGAGTGGGTTTTGCTAACGTTTTTCTAGAGTCGACAGATAGGGATCCCATTTCGGATACATAGATGTATCATCAGAGAAAAATTATTCATTATTTTTTAAATTACATTTTGTGAAGTTTCTTTTTTGACTCAGTATATATTAATACAAAAATATCTCACCTGTACATCATGTAGCCATATTACTTTAAGCCGTACGTATCACGGCTTGGTATATCTGCAATATTGTAATCTTGGGAACCAATGAAATAAAAAATAAATTAATAAAGTCCTACGTAGGAGATACTAAGTTATAAGTCCTACGTAGGAGACACTTTGACCTATGTAGGAGATACTGAGTACTAAGTCCTACGCAGGAGATAGTATGACCTACGTAGGAGCTATTATGACCTACGTAGGAGATACTAAGTCCTGAAATGTAAGGATATAACAAAGACATATCAATGATAGCTAAAACGTGCAGAATGTCGAGAGGACTTGCCCGTTTTGAGGACACATAACCTGCAGGTTTGTACTTGATATATCGTCAGCCACAGGTAAGTGTTCTTAACACGTTGAGTTGTGTCACGTGGTTTATCACATAAGCTCCTCCCGTACACTTGAGACCACTGAAGGTGACATGAGCGTAACAAACGTCATTGCATTATTTAGTTTATAGTTTCCGAAACGCTGTATGATTTCACCACCGCACCTGCATGGCATATGACTATCTGGTGGAACACAGAATGAAACATCAGGACAGGAAATCTTGCACAGACGATATAGAACATTGACAAATTTAATCAGCTATAGTTAAGGTAAGATATTTCGTGTATATTAATATGAACTCCACAACAAATTGCATTAATTGTATCATTGATACTTGGGCGGCGGGGTAGCGTAATGGTTAAAGTGTTGGCTCATCACGCCGAAGACCTGGGTTCGAATACCCACATGGGCACAATGTGTGAAGTCCATTTCTGGTGTCCCCTGCCGTGATGCTGCTGGAATATTGCTAAAAGCGGCGTAAAACAAAACTCAGTCAGCCAGTCAGTCATTGATACTTCTTAATTCAGATCTGTTTTGCTTGAGCATACGTATTTGTTGTGTTTAGATATTTCCACGCTGAACATGCACTGGTTGCTGGGACGCCAACACGTAATCCGCATCAGAAAGCACATCTATCATACGGGATTGTAAACTTGTGTCATACCGTCGTTCGTTATCTCTACGGAGTTGTAACCAGTTATTGATCTTGTGTCGAACTTAGATACCCATAAATACAAAAAGGTGAGGTGAAGTGAAATGGGGTTTAACGTCGCACTTAAAAATGTTTCTCTCATATGACGACGTGCAAATGTGTGTATGTGTGGCTGCTTGTACTAGCCCAGACATAGGCGGTTTTATAGTACTACCCCACTGAGATATCATGCCGCAGTGAAGCATGAATACCCCATTCAGACACATTATACTGACTCCGAGCCGACCAGTCCTTGTTGTACCTTGATTTGGTTAATTTAATACATCATATTTCGGCTGAAAGAACTCTTCATAATCACCTCTTTAATTAGCAATATCAGGGAGTGAGAGAGTTTAGTTTTACGCCGCACTCGACAACATTCCAGCTATATGGCGGCGGTCTGTAAATAGTCAGGTTTGGACCAGGTGAGGTGAGGTGAAATTGGGTTTAACCTCGTGCTTGAGAATATTTTGCTCATATGACGACGTGCATGCGTGTGTATATGGTGTCCTATAATTGCCATCGCGTGGCGCGTAAAAAAAGAACTACGTCGACGACGACGTCGTCCACGACGTCGTGCAGAAATACACAAGAATGATCTACGACAAAAATACAAAATCGACGTCGTCCACGACGTCGAAGGCGACGTCGTGTTTAGAAATTGTTATATTAGAAAATCGGGGAATAACCTTTTGTGGTGCAGTTGAACTGCTATTGATCTCTAATCACCGATTTCATGTTTAACATTACTACTTATTTAAGTAAACCAATCGAGGGGTTAGCGCCAGAACACCTTAAGTAAAAAATTCTGTCAAATTTAGTTGATGTTTGATGTTGTGAAAACGGTGTTGTTTTAAGGGATCAATACACTGGTTTTCTACAAAATGTAAAATGTCTCCACTCAGGAAACGAAATATGACTTTTGTACCAGCGGGTTGACATGTGAACCAGCGGGTTTAGTGAGTGAGTTTAGTTCACTCAGTTCATTAGTAGTGAGTTATTAAATTTCTAACATAAACGTGCAAGCTATAAGAATGTTGGAATTGACAGTTTTCATCATCATTTCCACAAATTCAGTCATGGAAAATGCACAATAGGTTGCTTTATACTTCTCGTGGTGGAACATACATATATGTAAATGGTTATATGTTTATTGTGAACAAGAAGAAAAGGGGAAAATGGATCTCGTGGAGATGCATTCAGAACGACTGCATATCAGTCTTAACAGTGAAGGACATAATTTCTTAAATACCTGGAGACCACAACCACGGACCTGTACACAGCGGACTGTACCAAAAATACTGACGGCCCCCGCACAAACAACAACCTCCGGGGTTGCAATTGGCATGGCCGTCTCACGAAGGTTGTGGTAAAACAACATCCCATCCTGTTCGAGATGGCCAAGTTCCTGGAAGATGAACGAGGACTGAACGAGGCAAAGATGCTTCAGTACAATGCCGGCCAAAGACTGTCCCCAAATAGAAGTACAGAGATTTGGAGGAACGACTAGATACCTTGAAGTTCAGGCTTGCAAATAACCACCCGACATTGATGGAGTACCTGGACAATGACAGACAGACAGACAGTCACACAGGTTTTATTCAGTAGTTAAGGCCCAGTGGCCCAGAGTACAATTGAAGTTACTCAATTACAACTATTGGTCACGTGACATTAAATTATGATTTTACATGTGATTTACGGATGGACATCAAATGTTTCATGAAAATGGCAACAGATTTAATAATATCAGCATTATTAGAATTAAGTACATTGAATATCGTTTGTGGGGCATCATTAGTGCATTTTAAATACTTCTTTCGGCAGGCAGAGAAAGTCTTACAGACTAATAATAAGTGTCGGTCGTCTTCAGTTTTACCAGAAGAACAATAAGAACATGATAAATCTTCCAATGTATTATTATCTTTTCTGAAAGGTTGTATTTTTAAGGCATGTAGAGAGATTTTAAATTTACAAAAGAAATCTTAAAAGGGACTTATCATTAAGAACACTGACATATTTTGCAGGTCCGAACATCGATTTACATTGTGAATAATGACTAAGAAAACTGGATGAATTGACTGATGCGTACCAACTCTGAATATATATCTTTTATTCGTTGTTTAAATGTTGACAAATCATTTTTATATCACCAACATCTTGCTTAAACCAAACATAAGAAAACTCGCTAGAAAATTACATATTTCTCACATCTGAAGCCCATGAATACTTTCCATTTTATTCAGTGATAACAATATTTGACAGCTTTGATTGGGGTAGCGATAATCAGGCATTCTTGTAAGTTTAATCCAGTATCTAATAACTCTCATTTGACTCTCAATATGCATGTTATAGGGTCCTGTTTCGCTAAGTATGGCTTTATTGGAAGCAAATGTACCTTCTGTAAGAAATCTTTTAAAATAGGATGCATGGACATTTTCAATGGCTTCGAAATAATTTGCTCCCCATATTATATGGGAAATTATGACATGATTATATATGTTAAAAGAAATATATTAAATCACAACCTTTTGTAATATGTTATAAAGGATCAAAGAAAGTATACATTTACACACACAAATATTCTTATGTGTTTTCATTGTATTCTAAACCGTAAACAACACCAGCCCAAATCCGATAGCCAGCGCGAATGCATATGCTTAAATTTGCTAGTACACATGAAAGGCAAAATGGTATTATATCTACTAGTACCTAAATACTTCTTTATAGAGTCGCAAAGCGTAGTATTTTAAGCAAACACGTTGCTCGAAGTGAAGCCTTATTTTCTATATATTCTCAACAAACACACTGTGTCACAAGCGTTCGGTCCGGCTTGGCTCGAGTCGTCAAAGGCACCTAACACCTCAAAGGTGTATCTTTAATTGTGCTTAAATCCATACATTAGTATTATATCTACCTACATATCACATTGAAATGTTACAAAATGCCTCATGTAAAGGTAACTGCTCCGTTAAAGTGAAACCCTTGTCTGCCCTCCCTCAAAATAGCCTCAATCAAAAGTGTTCAGTCTGTTCGGCCCGACTTGGCCCGGGCTGTCAAAAGCAACTTAAACCTCACACATGTATCTTGAAATGTGTTTAAATCCATAGATCAGTATTATATGCCGGACCGAACAATAGTGGCGGTGATTATGTTTAGAGTGTGGGGAAGAGATCTTTTCATTTGCAAATGGGTATGCCTTACATACAATGAACAGTGGCCTTCTAGGATGGTATTTGATTGGATATAGGCGTAAAAACATTTTCGGGTCGACAGAAATGTTTATCGGGAATGACTGAAGCATTTTTGCGTTTTAAATCCTGTTTCGTTTAACGATTCTTCTTTTAGACGTAACCTTGGTCAGCCACGTTCAGAGGCCGATAACCACTCGATATAGACAGACGTCGCCCACGAGGTCGCCCAGGACGTCGTCCACGTTATTTTTGTAGCCAAAATATATTTTAGAAAGCGACGTCGCGCGCGACGTCGTCTTTTTTATGCGACGTCGTGGGCGACGTCGTCCACGACGTAGTTCTTTTTTTACGCGCCACGCGATGGCAATTATAGGACACCATAGACCAGTCCTTGTTGTACCCATTAATGCCGAGCGCCAGGCAGGGACCGCTCTCCGGGCGGACGCTCTAACTAACACACCACGGAGGCGGTCGGTTTGGACCAGACAATCCAGGGATCAACAGCATGAACATCGATCTACACACCTGGGACACGATGACATCTGTCAACAATGTCAGCGAGCCTGACCAACGGATACCGTTAGTCGCCAATTATGACAAGCACGGGTTACTTAAGACCATTTCTAACACGGATCTTTAACGGTTGAGTTCAAGGTCAGATGCAGTTGTTAACGAATCCAAATCACGTGTTGGAAATATGTGATGAAAAGACCAGGCTAGGTCTGAACCATTTAAATAGACATGCTAACACTAGGAGAGCAGAGCTACAAACATATCCTCGTATAATCGGTTTTCGGTCACATAAGAAATCCCGCCGCGTATTTCAGACAATGCATAATAAATCTTGATATTGTCTATCTTACCCTTGAAAGTGGTTATTTATTGACAACATAAATAAATTCGATAAGATTACCTCGTGTGTAAACACTTCTGTCGGCCGTTAACTTTGCTGTCCAAACATCGCTGCATGGATGTGACGTCATCAGTTTTCGTTCAAATGATTGGTCGGCTGTTTTAAGGTTTACAGGAGGCGGTATAGCGGTGTGGCAGGGACATAATTTTATAGGATGCTGGTGTCAATCAAACAGTCTCAGCCATATCTATACAAGTTAACATTCGTCGCACACAGAAACGAAGAAAGAATAATTCCAAAATATTTCACAAGAAATGTCGACTACGTAGGACTTAATATATCCTTTTAAGGATGGTTATTAAGTTGAGAAATGTTTGGCTATGCAGGACGTTAGTCGAAATGTGAATCAGTGAATATTCATGACACTAACGCAGTGTTACTGTACAGTGCTATTGTGTGTGTATAACGTTAGGGTGACGTGGACCCTGTTCTAATTGCAGTTATGCAGGTTTGGGTATGGTTATGTTTAATCTT